GGGACTTATAGTAGAACTGTTAGGGCTACATGGCTCTAGCTTTAGCTTAGTATGTGGACCTTTTGTAGCTTGTTAGAGGTTACCTTTATTGGTGTAAGAATGGCTTGACGAATCGGGTATAGGACAACCTCTACTCTTTTGTGTATAGCCATGATGGAATTATGCCATTCGATAGGGGGTTTCCTATATCTGTTTGCCGAGTGAATCTAATGGCCCTAACTTGTTAGACGAACCTTTGAAAGGCTTCATAGTGAGCCCTGCTGACCTTCCTTGGTAGTGGGTCAAGAAGTTAGCCGTCTCGGGCGAAAGGGTAAATCATGACTCACAGTGAAAGTGTACAACCTCTGCAGAGTGTAAAACTGGTATATCAGCCGAGCTCACGGTCACGAGCGGCCTTGGAACATTTATGGAATAGCTAATGAACACTGATGATATTGATAATAAAAATGCTCACTAATGATTACCATTTATGCTATTCATTATTCATGTTTGCCTGTTCATGTGTTTATATGGGCTTGTGAATAAACTTGTTGCCACCCAATTCCTAAAAGATGATTCATTAAAAGTTAATCGCAGTTAAACTAGTGTCAGCCTTTTGAGCCTCTTGAACCCCATGTTATATTTGTTGAGTACGACATGTACTTATGCTTGCTTTACTTTTTAAATCCTTGGAAAAATCCTGAATGGATACCAGATTGCTAGTCTGGAGAAGTTAGGCTTGTGATCAACCAGTTAGTTGTCCCTGTGGAATTAGAGTCTTCACCCAAAGATCGGAGTTGTCTTTCCGCTATTTGTTGTCTAAGGTTATATTCTCTATACTAAGTACGCTATATATTGAACATTGTCTATTGATATTACCCTTATTTGTAGCTATATGTGAGTTTTGATTTCCTGGGCTCACATATAATGTGTATCTGGTTTTGTTCTTAAAACCGGGTGCTATAGCAATTTCATCAAATTCTTGATCTCGAGGAAAAGGAGAAGACCAACGTAATTGAACATGGTTCAAGAAATCGCCATGCTCCATCCAATAGATTTCTTATTTAAAAGAATTATCACATCCAGTAAAACACATATGCATCAATTAGACGCAGATAAACAATTTATATACAAAACTTTGCTTATTTGTCCTATTTTAAACAATAAATAAAAATATTTCACCTATTACCAAGAAGGTAATATATATGATCGTAACCATCCGATGTAGTTAAATGAATGGATCTAAGATTTCAACTAAATCCATATTGATGATAATACCAGGCAAAGAAAAAAAAACTATGAATAATCTTAACATAGCTGGATAAAGACTACATAGTATCTATTATGCATATTGTGTTATTAGAAAATAAACAAAGAAAAAGTTTAATCTAATAAAAGTAATTTTTATTAGTAATAGGTATTAAGCAGTAACTAATGTTTATGTCTTCTAAGATTTTAACCATATAAATTGCCTAGTACATACAAATTGACTTGACCCGCTGCCGTGCCAATGAAGGCTAGTCTGGAGGAGTTAGGCTTGTGACTAAACAGTCAGTTGTCCCTGTGGAATTGGAGTCTTCACCCAAAGATGGGAGTTGTCATTCCGCTGTTTGCTGTCTAAGGTTATATTCTCTATACTAAGTACGTTATATATTGAACATTGTCTATTGATATTACCCTCATTTGTAGCTATATGTGAGATTTGACTTCCTGGGCTCACATAGGGTGTGTATCTGGTTTTGTTCTTAAAACCGGATGCTACAGCAATTTCATCAAATTCTTGATCTTGAGGAAAAGGAGAAGACCAAGCTAATTGAACCTGGTTCAAGAAATCATCATGCTCCATCCAATAGATTTCAAAATAAAAAATCTGACCCTTGGGGATTGTAGTAGAGACAGATATGAGGCAAGGTACATGGTCTAAAGTTTCCATACATAGAGTTGAGACATTGGTATTTGGATAAGATAAGGTCCAACAGGGTGAAGAAAAGAACCAATCCAAGCGCTCAAGAATAGGTGACTGTTGTTTGTTAGACTAGGTATAAAACGCTTTCCTTTCGACGGAAGCTCTACCAGAGCCAAGGCACTGATGGCCTCATTGAACAAATACATCTCAGTATGGTCAGCACCAGGCTTATTCCGATCGTCCGGGCTTCTGTAAAGGTTGAAGTCACCAATAACAAGCCAGTTTACTAACTGGCATTTGGATATTTCTGAACCAGTCTACAAACTCACGTTTACCTGGGGTAGTACAATGTGCTTAGATATTTGTAAGAAGCCAAACAGCACCATCGTGAAGCGAAGTAAATTCAACTGATAAAGCTTAGTTATTTTGGAAAACCAAGGAGCCCTGAAACATGAGGCTCTTCCAAATGATGATCGATCCACCTGAGGCCCCAACCGAAGGCAAAAACTCAAAACAGACAAAGGAAGGGGGGGGGCATGAAAGTCTGAAAAAGGAAAGATCACATTTAGTTTTGTATGGACAGACTATAATACAACTACTGTCAACAATACGGTCTCTTGAGTTCCTTTTCTTGTCTGAATTTAAGCCGTGCACATTCCAGCACAAAATGTTCTAAGATCTAGTGTTCACGACTTAAGCAACAGAAACCAGGAAAAGACATCATAGCTAGCTAAGAGCCACTGACGGAAGCAAAAGAATCTCGCAAACTTGAAGCTTGGAAGCGCTTCACTTCTTGGGCTTCTTTCATCTGGGCCAACATTCTCAATTGTAGTTGGTGGATTACATATACATGACATGTTACCAAATTATGGTCTCCTTTAATGTTGCCTAACACAGTTAAACGATTATAGAACCAAAACTCATTACACTCATGAATAAAAAAACACGTTGCATGAATGAAAAAGATCGTCAACTAATGGAGCTTGGGCCAAAACAAAACCTACATGCATGAAAAAAAATCACCGCCTAAGACTATGGAACACGCTAAATAACACATGAGGTACAAGTTACATTCATAGAAAAATCATGAGTTAATACTACGCTAGCTAACACAGAGCGTTACATGCATAATAAAAGAGCTAACATACTAGTTAAAATATATTAGGTCCAAAGTTTCTTATTTAAAAGACTTATCACATCCAGTAACTCACATATGCATCAATTAGATGCAGATAAACAATTTATATATAAAACTTTGCTTATTTGTCCTATTTTAAACAATAAATAAAAATATTTCACCTATTACCAAGAAGGTAATATATATATGATCGTAACCATCTGACGTAGTTAAATGAATGGATCTAAGATTTCAACTAAATCCATATTGATGATAATACTATGCAAAGAAAAAAAAACTATGAATAATCTTAACATAGCTGGATAAAGACTACATAGTATCTATTATGCATATTGTGTTATTAGAAAATAAACAAAGAAAAAAGTGTAATCTAATATAAGTATTTTTTATTAGTAATAGGTATTAAGCAGTAACTAATGTTTGTCTTCTAAGATTTTAACCATAGAAATTGCCTAGTACATACAAATTGAGTTGACCCGCTGCCGTGCCAACGAAGGCTAATGAATGTAACGTTCCCCACAAAAGACAGTATGGAAAACAGCACTATCATAAAGGACCAAATCGGATTGGGACAGAGAATCTCGTGCCGGTAGACGATTCCAACAGCAGAATTTTGTCAGAATAGAAACTGACGAGATAAGGCGCACATCGACGCCCACTTCTTTGGCTTGTTCCTTCTGAAAAGTAATGCACTACTTTGATAAGTACTAGAAACAGGAGTACGTGGGGCTCAAGGTCGTCGATCTTCTGTCCAACGGCAGTAAGATATGGTAAGCTATGACAATTGTAGAAGTGTGTGGACATAAAAGGCCGCTGTAATGCTCTTTCACCTATTACCAAGAAGGTAATATATATATATGATCGTAACCATCCGACGTAGTTAAATGAATGGATCTAAGATTTCACTAAATCCATATTGATGATAATACCATGCAAAGAAAAAAAAACTATGAATAATCTTTACATAGCTGGATAAAGACTACATAGTATCTATTATGCATATTGTGTTATTAGAAAATAAACAAAGAAAAAAGTGTAATCTAATATAAGTAATTTTTATTTGTAATAGGTATTAAGCAGTAACTAATGTTTATGTCTTCTAAGATTTTAACCATATAAATTGCCTAGTACATACAAATTGACTTGACCCGCTGCCGTGCCAATGAAGGCTAATGATTGTAAAGTTCCCCACAAAAGACAGTATGGAAAACAGCACTATCATAAAGGACCAAATCGGATTTGAACAGAGAATCTTGTGCCATTAGACGATTCCAACTGCAGAATTTTGTCAGAATAGAAACTGACGAGATAAGGCGCACATCGATGCCCACTTATTTGGCTTGTTCCTGCTGAAAAGTAATGCACTACTTTGATAAGCAGTAGAAACAGGAGTACGTGGGGCTCAAGGTCGTCGATCTTCAGTCCAACGGCAGTAAGATATGGTAAGCTATGACAATGGCAGAAGTGTGTGGACGTAAAAGACCGCTGTAATGCTCTTTTTATTATATATAAACCACTGGGCCTCAACTATCTGAGCGGACAATTTAATTAGATAGTCACCGCAAGTACCGAGGATGAACAGCTAGCAAGTCTACGCTCCGGCCGACCTGAGGTGCCTTTAGCTTGCTTTTCCTCTTATTACTACTAGTTCTTTGCTTGCTACTTAGTTCGACACTATATAACTAAGTTGAGAGTATATATATCATGTCCAAGTTAGCTAAGTACTAAAGTAGAGATCTTTGCTAGATGGTACTACTTTCCTAGTGATGTAAACCTTGCTGCTAAGCTTTCACGGCTACTCTAGCGTCTCGAACTTTTTTTTTTAAGAATCCATCTCGAACTTCACTCTAACCATATCTGTTGGCTGCCATAATAATATCCACATGCCATGCACAATGTTTAAGCTTTGTACTATATGTGTGCAGTGCAGACAACACTGTCCGATCTATGTTGCCCAGGTCGCTCGTGAACTCCGCCATGATTGGAATACTGGCACTACTGCTGTTTTATTGGGCTGGATACGCCAGTTGTTCAACGGTCCCACAAAACAGCACGGACATGCTCTCGCTGCTCGATTTCAGAAAACAAATCACCAGCGATCCAAGAGATTTCTTCAGTTCCTGGAACAGCAGCGTCCACTACTGCAGCTGGAATGGCATCAAATGCAGTAGAACGAACCTGGGGCGCGTCAGGGAGCTCAACCTCACCTTCCAAAGCCTAGGTGGACCAATCTCTCCATCTCTTGGGAATTTAACCTTTCTTAGAATACTCGACCTGTCCTCAAACAACTTCGTTGGTCAGTTACCCTTTCTTAATCGCCTCCGTAGGCTTAAGGCAATTTTTCTGAAAAATAACCAGTTGCAGGGGTTTGCTCCTGCTGCACTTGTAAACTGCTCCAACTTGCTCTATTTAGGCCTTACTTCAAACATGTTAAATGGACCAATTCCACCCAGTATCAGTCTCCTGGTTAACCTTAAGTATCTGTACCTTGATACTAATAATTTCACCGGAGCCATCCCATCGAGCCTGCTCAACATCTCTAAACTAGAGGAGCTCGTGCTTTCAGATAATCAGCTCCAGGGGACCATACCTGAAGAGCTTGGGCACTTATCAAATATGACTAAATTGACCCTAGGAGGGAATAGGCTATCAGGTAGTATCCCAACAACAATTTTGAATCAATCTTCTCTTGCAATTCTGGACGTGAGTGTGAATTTTCTGCGTATGGAGTTGCCATATAACATTGGCAATACCCTTCCGTTCCTCGCCGTGCTTACCTTGCACAATAACATGTTCCATGGTCAAATCCCAGCCTCACTAGGAGATGCTTTTCACCTCCAGATATTAGATTTCACATCTAACAATTTCACTGGCCATGTTCCTAGCTCTTTTGGAAATCTTCCCTACCTAAAGTACCTTAGACTAGAACAAAACAAGCTTGAAGCAAATGAAAGTAAGGGCTGGGAATTCATAGACACATTGGACAACTGCAAGGGTCTCAATTTGCTCTCATTGTATGACAATCAGCTACAAGGAGCCATACCAAATTCAATTGGAAAGTTGTCCACCAATCTTCAGTACCTAGGATTAGGCAAAAACAACTTGTCAGGGACGGTTCCAGAGAGCATTGGGAACCTTATTGGCTTAAATGAACTTATTTTAGATCAAAACAATCTGGCCGGTGCGATTGGATCGTGGATTGGAAATTTGAGTAATTTGGTAATATTAAATCTCACAGAAAATAACTTCAGTGGGCCGATTCCATCCTCCATTGGCAGCTTTACTCAGTTAACCGGGATATACCTGCAAAGCAACAAATTTGAAGGTCCTATACCTGCCAGTTTGGGGAAACTTCAATATTTACTAGAATTAAATGTAAGTTATAACAATCTGGAAGGCCCTATTGCTAAAGAGCTCTTTAGTCCTAAATCCTCATTGACCAAATGTGTATTATCCTCTAATAATTTAGAAGGCGCAGTGCCTCCAGAGGTTAGCAATCTTCAAAACCTCAATGAACTAGATCTGTCATGGAACAAACTTGTGGGGGAAATCCCAGCTGCTCTGGGCAAATGTCGTCAGTTGCAGATACTACAAATGGACAACAATAATCTCTCAGGAAACATTTCATCTCTGGGTAGTTTAACAAGCTTGAACATACTCAATCTTTCACACAATAATTTGTCAGGCTTCATCCCTGTAGAATTGGGTAATATGTCCTCTCTTACCCTGCTGGATCTATCTTATAATGATCTACAAGGTGAAGTACCAAGGGATGGAGTATTTCAAAATGCTTCAGCCGTCTCGCTTGTTGGCAACAGGGGACTGTGTGGAGGTGTGTGGGATCTACACATGCCTCCCTGTCATATTGACTCAAGGGGAAAAACAGCACAATACTACCTCATTAGAGTGTTGATTCCAATATTTGGCTTCATGTCACTCTTAATGTTGGTCTATTTTGTTCTCACCGAGAAAAGGACTGCACAACAACCATCATTAACTTCTCTTGGTGATCAATTCCCAATAATTTCTTACGTTGATTTAGTTCGCGCTACGCAGAACTTCTCTGAATCAAACCTGATAGGGAGAGGGGGTTGTGGTTCTGTATATAGAGGCAATTTGATGAAAAACAGCCTGGAAGTTGCCATTAAAGTTCTTGACATTGACATTCGTGGTGCTAAGAGAAGTTTCTTATCAGAATGTGAAGCTTTGAGAAACATCCGACACCGAAATCTAGTTTCCATCATAACAGCGTGCTCTACGGTTGATATGAATGGCAATGTTTTCAAAGCTCTGATATATGAATTGATGCCAAACGGAAATTTGGACTCGTGGTTGCATCCGGAAGGGAATGGGAGAGCCAGAAAACCATTGAGCTTACATCAAAGAACTTGCTTAGCTGTCAATATAGCTGACGTACTCGCTTATCTGCACCACGAATGTGGACAAACAATTATCCATTGTGATGTGAAGCCCAGTAACATACTCCTAGACGATGACATGAATGCTCGTTTGGGAGACTTTGGCATTGCAAAATTCTATCTAGATTCTAGATCGTTGTCTACTGAAAATTCAAATGCTATAAGTTCGATTGATGTGAATGGTACTATCGGCTACATACCACCAGGTATGCTATTCCCAACATGTTGAACCTGCACAATTGCTTTTGCATGAACTTGTACTTCGAGTGTGCACTAATTCAATAACCCTTGCATTTTCAGAGTACGCTCGAGGCGGCCATGCATCGACTTATGGGGACGTTTACAGTTTTGGAATTGTACTTCTAGAGATGTTGATAGGCAAAAGGCCAACACATCAAATGTTTGTGAATGAGCTGAACATTGTCACATTCGTGGAGAGAAGCTTCCCTGATAAAATACTAGATATGATTGATGGCCCCCTACAAGAAGACGTCAAGACTACACGAATAAATATGGTAACAGACAACGGGGCATACCAATGCTTGTTTTCTCTACTACAAGTGGCACTTTCTTGCACACGACAATTTCCTGGTGAACGAATGACCATGATGGAAGCATCTAGCAGAATTCGTGCAATCAAGACCGCATATGCCGGAGGAAAATAACATGTTTTGAAGTGACAATAGAACGTAGCACCAAGTTCTATACCCACAGGATCCTTTTATTTAATCTGGACATGCTATATAATTAACCCTGCCAATACCCCCTTCACAACACAGATCTTCATTTTTTTACTCGTCTGCTGTGTGCACAAATGTAGTTATGTAAGGTCAACATTCACCTCAGTGCATCAATTTTTGTATGGAATTTCCATTCATATTATTTGGATCTTAGACTTTAAAATGGGCAATGTCGCCAAAGCTCTATGGAGCTGGAGTATGTGTCATGTCGGTACCATCTACTTGCAGCTTGCAGTTGCAAGAGAAGGAATCCTCAGATTCGACAGGGCCAAAGAGTCGTGCACACTGTCTTGCAGAAGAAAGCCTGTTGCGCAACGAACTGAAAATGAAATGCCTTGGTCTCTCTTCAATCGCACAAACAATCGCCATACAACGCTCTAAATTCCTGTTTCTCACTGAAGTGGATGCTAATACAAAGTTCTTCCACCTGCAGGCCTCTCATTGAGGACGCAAAAACTACAACAGTTCACTCAAGGTTGCGGGAACCGAGATTGTGTGCAGAATCAAAGAATTCGCCGCAAGACTTTTTGACAATTTCAATGCCATCATTGGCTCCAATTTCGTCCGAACCAAGAGGATAGTGCATGGTATCCTTGGGTTACAGAGCTTGATTGCTGTTTCTCAGAGCAAGAAGTTTGTAGTGTCATTATAGAAGCCCTTGCCCATAAAGCACCTGGCCCCGAGTACTAAAACATCCTCAATTTTCCGCGAAGGGAAAATCCACAAAATAAATTATAATATGATGAAACCAATAGTTGATTATATCATATTATCATATATCAGTCGATAGCACAGTCATACATCGTAAGATTACAAGAATACAAGATATTACATCACTGGACAAACACACCTTTTACAGAGTTAATCTAGCGGAAGACTATCGAGTGAAGGCTCCTCCTTCACGGACATCATCAGAGTTGACGTAGTGCAGCGTAAATTCCTTCTCCGAACCAAACTTGAGCGTAGGCACGAGACCTCCTAATCCTTCTATAGTCAGCATCTCTGAGAAGCAGGAAATCTGCACACCGCCAGATGTGTGCAGGCCATGGTCAGCACCGATGAGCTTTAGTGGAAAAGATAAACAAGGGATCTGGCGATCCTAGTATTTGGCTGTGGTTTGCGTTCTTAGCGTATGAGAAGTAAATAACAATTGTATCATAATAATAATATCCAATTTTTTTAACACATTCACCACCACACCATGTCCATCCATATCCATCCACCAACCATCCATCCCAAACCATCTCCACACCACCACACCTTATCTCATCTCACACACTCAGGTCGACAGGCCAACTCTCTCTCGGCCTTGTTTCAACGGCCCGTAGCCCCAAGGCTCACGACCGGAAAATACCCCAAACCCTGGAGGGAGAATAGAAAGACTCATCTCCTATCTAGTTTAAGCGAAACCCAGGAAAGGTCCATAGCCGACAAGTCAGCATATGTATCGATCGATCAACCATACACTCTGCAGAGGTTTTACATACCCACAAGATAGCCATCCTCGACGGTGCCCCGTCTAGGCAGATTCCGGCCGCTTGCTAGCCTAGAACGATGCCACCCTACCTCTCAGCCCTGGAACATCCCAAGTCTAATCTGGGATGGCTGATACTGTGAGTCGTAGACAGAGCCAGGGCCCACCGGATGTCAAGAGCCGGTCCACAAGGCCTCCTGAAGTCTCGAAAGGGTGTGGGGGGAAAACCGCGCACCCCGTACCTCCTTGCACACGTTCGCCTAGCAGTAGTGGCATCGCTCTACCAAGTAGTCTGACCGTCCCGCACCATATAGGGAGAGTGGGATGTAAAGGATTCCCGATGAATCTGAGTACTAGTAAGTCCTTAGGGGTGACCAAGCCAAAATGTCTTCATCAGGGTTTCCATTTACCGTGCCACCACAGCACCTCCACCCCGGGCTCCACCTCTCCGAGGTTCACACCCAAGGCCACCTTCAATTACCATTTACCCACCACAGGTATTCCATATTTAAGTGCCCAGGTAGCACCACATGGGAAGACTCGCCCCAGGCTCGTCGTTATTCCAGCTCGGTCGACACAACCCTCACTCTCCACGCACCCAAGACACACGCAGCATGCTCACACACCACCAAGTCCAACACCCATAGCCAAACCATTCCCAGGTTGTTCACCACCAGCATCACATCCCCCGACATAATGCGAAGTGGAGTTAATTAATAAGTATAGTGGTGTAATATGCAAGCAAGCAGGCAAGTAAGCATATATAAGCGAGCGAATGCGCAAAGCAGGGTGACGTGGTAGAGTGGGTTGCATCAGGGTAATAATGGCTCAGGTAGTAGCATGCATCAAAGTACTAGCAAAGGAATAATTTATAAAGCGCTAGCAGTTCTAGATATTATGCAATGTCTAATAGGATTCTCTAAAAGAGGGTGCTGCCATGACACCTGCGTTGTAGAGGTAGTAGTGGTTCAATTCTCCATTTGTTGGTGTTCCATTAGCGGGGTTACCTCCTCCTGCGTTGGCTCCTTTCCGCAGTCCTTGTCGTCGTCCACGTTCTCTTGGTCCGATTGTCAGCTACTCCGCGAAGCAACACGCAAGGCAAGAGAGCACTCAACACTCGAAAAGACGACAAGACGTAGGAAAATCCAGTAACACCAGTGAGGTAATAAGAGATACACAGCTTAGCCCTCTCGGTGGTTGTCCGATTTCCTCAGGCCAAAGAGACAAGAGTGGTGGTTTGCTATGCACAAGCTTTAAGTCATGGCCAAGCCAGTATGGCTTTAGGATAGATGGTTTAAGACAAAGCTTATCCATAGCAACACCATGGCTCACGATCTTTCGATCCAGTGTCATTGAATTGACGGGGATTGGAAGTCGGGCCTCAAGAAAGAAGGATGACGGGATTCGGCTCTTGTAGCCTTTTCCCGCAAGTCACAATTAGACGCGAGATGCAAACAAGAACAAATAACACTATTGTGACTTGGCTCCAACGTACTTTGGCTCGCCCGCTATGGTAGGAAGCGGTAGCGCAAAGAGATTATACATCAATGGTTCCCCTCGATCCACTCGACACAATAACGTCGGGAGCCGAGAGGAGAGTCGCTCAATCACGACAAGAGATGCAGGGGTTAGCTAGGCACATCCATGTCATGTTCTCAGACACATCTTCGGAAAAGATGGTTTTAGACGGTCGATCGGGTCGACACGCACGGGTCCGAGGTACGACTTAGACCTTAGCTTTGCTAACGAAAGGGAATAGTCTGGTCTTTGATCCAATCGTCACGGACAAGACGGGATCGAACAGAGCGGCTATCGGGGCAATAAGAGCAAGAACAACCAAGAGAAAGGTCTACTTCTAATGCACACGCCACGACAAAGACGGGGCATCGGAAGGAGTGACACTCAAGAACACCAAGTGCGTAAGCCACTCAAAGGGTACCCGACCTGGGTGCACTGGCACTGAGATATCTCTCGGATTCGAAGCAGTGCGGTTGTCACCGCGAGAATCAGAGAAACATGATGGTCAATCGGGGTACAAGCATACAAGGGCTTGAGCACGAAGAAGCAACTAAAAGCGAAAGAGAGGCATAGCTCCATGGTCATGGCGAGGTGAACTCGCGGCCACAAGCTTAGGCCAACGAGTTGGCATCCATCATTCCACGATTGTTTACTCCCAGGTTATCTCCCATAGAACTTGGTCATGGAAGGCTCAAGGCGTGCGGGTGATATCCGCATCGATGTTAGTATCGACATCGAATCCAACACGACCATGTTCTAGGGCCGAAGGCAGGAGCTAACACTCGTGGTACTATGAAGTCAACTAAAAAGCGAGGGGTCGAGTTACACTCGGCGTCACGGGCATGGCGAGACGGATCCCGTGGTTGTAACGTCTGAACGAGGTACAATCCCTTAGCCAGCTCGAAGGCTCGGCACACAGGCAACAACACTAACAACCAGCGATAAGAACCAAACACGACCGAAAGACGCAACAACTCGACACGACTGACGAGTAGGACATTCTATAGTTGGGGATAGGCAGACCTGCACAAGGGCATGGTGTAGATAGATATAGATAGATCAAGATCATGTATTGTAAGTGGACGAACGAGTATAAGAAGGAGCGGGAAAGGGCTTTCGTCGGTGGTCGGAGATGTCACCGAGGTGGTCGGTGAGATCGCCGAGTGGTCGGAAAGGTTGTCGAGGTGGTCGGAGAGTACTTAAGGGTTGGTCCACATCGTGGTGCTCGTCTTTAGAAAAATTATGAAACTGGTTTCATAATTTTTCGTCAACGTATGAATTTTTCTACGAATTTCGGAGATTAAATCCATTCCTGAAAAAGAAGAGGGAGGCCACGGTTTCTACTGGGCCGCCACTGGGCTGCTGTCGGGCTTGTCTTATGCGAAGAGGAAAGGCATGCCGGCCTGTTTGTCGGCCCAAACTGCAAGGAAGAGAGAGGGCCAGCACAGGGCCACTGGGCCGATGTTGCAGCTGCTGCAGTTGGCCCAAGAGAGAAGAGAGGGTGCTGGTGCTGGGCATTGGGCCGGCTGGCCTTGGTGCTTTCCCGCAAGCTGCTCAGCAAGGTAGGGTCTGGGACTGGGGCTGCTCACGACGTGCTTGTCCTCGGTGATGGTGTCGCGCGCAACGTTCTCCGAGGCCTTGGGTGAGTAGCTCGCGACCGTGCCCAGCGGTGCTTGACCGAAGAGCCTGGGGACACGGACACAGTGCACGCTTGGCTCACCGTGACACTGCTCAGTGCATGAGTGCCAGCGTGGCCAAGGTCGGCCTTTGGGTCTGCGTGTGTGTGCGTCCGAGCGGTGGCCATGGTCGTGAGTGTGGTGGCAGGGTTCGAGGTCACGGAGGTGTAGGGTCGGCTGAGCTCACCATGGTGAGGCCGCGATGGCGGTGCCATGCCATGGACGTGAGGGCGAGGCGGTATGTGCACGGGCGTGGT